AGAAACCTTGGCAGTTATAACCTTCATGCTTTCTTAGGTGGAAGATCTGAATAAGCAATATTTTCATTTCAGGGCAGGCTTAATAGTTGCTTCTAGGAAACTACAAAAAGGTTACTATTCATCTTTTGGTTTTCACATTCCTGATTTTAAAAAGATAGCATAAAATATTAAAAACACTCATATCATTGAATGGTGAATTTTATATACCTTATTTTCCTGCGTATAAGACTACTTTTTTACCTGCAAAATCTGTGGCTAAAGTGGGGGGGGTCGTCTTATACGCTGGATATAAGGATAATGAGGATAGAGGTGCTAAAACTCTATATTTTGACTGGGAAAATGGGGGGGTCGTCTTATACGCGGGTCGTCTTATACGCTGGAAAATACGGTAACTTTTATTTGTGCAGGATGTGACAGTCTTTCAGCCTGCATTTTGATTATTTTTATTTCGGAAAGAGACATTGGGATGGAAATACTGTTTCTGGCATATTGTATTTCAATACCCACACCATTCCTACAGCAAAAGAATAAAGCTGGGACCTTCTTTATATTAAAAAGGAAAATATGCCTTTAGCTATTAGTTTTCCTGAATCCAAAAAGACGGGTGGGGCAGGATCAAAAATACTTATTTGATCAAAGTTATTGGCTCTGAAGGTATTCTAACCTATGTGAGAAAGATGAAAGGTGTTGTTTTTATTGCACACTAGTAACAGTGTAATTTTGAACTAATTGGTGTTGAACTGCCAATCACCTACAGGGAATGCAAATAGATACTCCTACAGTTTCCTTTGAGGTACTGAAATATTATGTTGGGGCTGGAAGAAAAACAAAATAATACTGTTAAATTGACCTTAAATGAGCTGCTTTGTGGTTTTCTTGGAGAATCCCTTCTAACTTTTCATGACTAGTCTGAACAAGTTCTGTCTAATAGTTTGATTTATTGGCTAGACAATGCAGACATTAAACTTTTGTGCTTGTTTGAAATAAAGTTGAGAGGCTATGGTGCTTCAATAGTTTGCTGTCTTTCAGAGAACCAGTTTGAATTGCTGTGAAATGTTGCCTTGCTCTTTGGAAAAAGTATTGGGATTAGCGTTACCCTATTATCATCTCGGAGGAAGTTGTAAGAGTTGTCATTTCCCTTGTCAGTGCAAATACTAAAAGATTTTATGTATTTCCTGTCATCATTGATGTGAAAATTACTGCAGATGTAGTGAAAGTGAAGTGAATGTGAATTAACGTATTGAGGATGTAAAAAAGTAGCCTTAGAAGCCCATTGGTTCTTCTAGCCCACTTCTATGTGCTTAGAATAACAGCTACTCTTTAAAGTAATCATTAGTTCTGATTAACTATTTTAACTTTTGTATCTTACGGATTTGACAATATGTATATTAATTTGTTGTACAATCCTTTGAATCTCAAACTAGAAGAAAGGCAGGATAGAAACAAACAAACCAGCACACAAATAAAAATATGATTGTGGATGTATTTAGCTTTATCCTGTTACCACTGTAAATTCAGAATACAGTTCATACATTTTTGCATTAAATTCTGTAATCATTTTGGGAAAACATGTTGTGCAGTTTGGACAACACTAAAGCATATAGCTCTATGGACACTAGCATTTCACTATGCTAAATCAAAATTTCACAAGAGGCCATAGCTACTTGTACTTGAGACACAATCACACCTTAATCAGCCTGTGCAGATCATTTTACAGAAAAAGATAACATCTGGTAATCAAGTCCAATGTAGAGTAAAGACAACTAAACCACGGAGTATATTTCATGCAACTTACAAGAAATCATAACGGAACAGCTCTCTTCTTGATTGCATAAACAATAAAGAAAGATACATATTGAAGATAATCAATAAAATGCTTTGATTACAACTAAATTTTCAAGTTGTCTCCCTTTCTCCAGTGCTGCAAAATTGTAGAGTGACCTTGATCCTTACATAATAAATCATCATGCTTCCTTTTACAAGAATATAAACCTAATTCACACCTATTTTATGGACTTCAAGTGAAAGTGGGATTGGAATATTTTCAGTTTAACAATAGATGAATGATTGCTTCTTTAGTTTAAAAATAGGTGGTCACTTCAAAATGCTAGCAAAGCAGTGGCTTGTATTGCATTTCTGAACTGCTCGTAAATCTGTGTTGCTTTAAGGTAGTCATTTACTCTTGAGCAGTGGGAAACTTGTGGCCTTCTGGATGTTGCTGGGCTTAAACCCTTATCATTCATTGTCTGTGCAGGCTAGGCCTGCTGGAAGTTGCAGTCTATTGACAGCTGGAGGTGAAGTTGCCCTTGCCTGCTCTACAGAGAACAATTATATTGTCTAATTGTCTTTAGAGGTTACTTCATTAAATCATATATCAGTCCCTTGATTATAAAGATCAATTTGAGATAAAGTGAGTTACGGTTTGTTAGCATGCTGCTGTTATATTGTAAAATTTCTTTGCCATGCAAATACACATTTTATTCAGGAGGATGAAGCTGTGGTATAGTCCATCTTTGGTTTCCTTCAGCATCATTGAGCACTGCTTTGTACTTCATACATGCTTGGTGAGGCAAGAAGAAATTTTGTGGGGCATTCAGTGTTATGGGACAGTTTTACCGTAGAAGACTGCAATGACTTTATAGCTTGTAAATGGTGGTATGTTACATGAGCATTGTTTTAATAGTCCAAATCCAAGTGACAGTATCTTTGTCCTTGAACAGGGGTTTCTTCCCCAGTGGAGTGTAACACAAAACAGCTAGAACAGGAGCTGAATAATGTGAAGAGCATGAAGACAAAACTGGGTAATTACTTCAGGTCTTTTACATATGTCCTAGAGCTCAATTCCTAGATGGTGTAAGCAGCATTTGTGTATATATACTGTCAGAGGTGCTTACCAAGTCTCTCTTGATATAGACAGCAGGAGATCTTCTTAGCTCACAGGAAATCTGTTTGCATTTTGTGAGCTTGTACTAAGTACATAAACATAATTGTGAGCTTTTAGTTTTTAAATTAACATTTAATTTTATTATGAATAGAGAAAACAGACCAAAGGCCTTTTAATATTCTGTAGAGTCATACCTCCATATTCGCGGGGGTTAGGGGCGAAGGACACTCACAATATAGAAACATGGAAAATATGGAAAAATTATGAATAACCCCTCCCAGCACGAGAGGGCCCGCACCCTATGCCTGGATTGCCTGATCCAGGCATGGCAGGGGAGGTAGAAGGGGCTGCGCAAGCTCTCTTCTGACCCCTCTGATGCCTGGATTAACTGTTCCAGGCATGGGAGGGCTCAGGAGAGACCTCACGAATAACCAAATTCACGAATTCCAAGTTCGCAAATTAGGAGGGACGACTGTAGTTCTAACCTTTTGTTGTTCCCCAGCCACTGATATTCAGAGTCATCTTGCTTCTCTGAGCCTTGGGGTAGCATACAGATATCCTGACCTGTAGCCATTAATAGCTCTATTCTAATTGTGGCTGTCATCATCATTACCTTCTGTGTGCTGTCCTTTCCCCAAAGCTGGGAGTCAAAGAATAATTTATCTGTTGTTTTATTTTACTGCATCTTACCCAGACTTTCCTTGAAAAAAGTGGCCCTCAGCATTGCTAATCAGCATAATTAAAAACAAATTAGATAATAAAACCTTTGAAGTCCTCATAATAATCTCTGCAATAGGTGAAGACATAATTTCCTTTGTCTTAATCTCCTACCATACAGGTAAATTGAATGATTGTGGGTTCTAGTATTAGGAAAGAGAAGTCTCCTTTGTTAATTCATATTTGCATTGAAATTTTAGACGACTTAAGGTTTTTAACTTACTTGCCAAGTAATTGGTTTTGGAAGGTTATGTGACAAATTTTACAAATAGAAATCTGTTTAGTTTACTAGAAATGGATTTCCCCCCTACTTTTACATAACACACATTTTTCACAAATGCTGACTGCCATGAAAATAATGTACTATTTCATACTCCAGGTGATAGACGTAATACATAAAACACTTGCACACTAAACTGTTTTGGGGGAAAATTCCAGAGAGATGGGTAGTCAAAGCTGTTACCCTCCCCCCAATATATATTTCAGCCTTTTCCTAGTCATGACTGGAGCCAATTCAATACTTGTCGAAAATGTCTTTGCAGTTTATAGCTGGCAGGGTAGGATCATTGATCAAGAAAGCATGGATGGACTAGGAAGTTGCTTTGGAGTTTCTGCAGTGGAAGTTATTACAGAAGTGCCTCTTAGGTTGCCTGACCTAATAAATGTCATCCCTCCTCCCCATGTGTCAGAGATGGATATCATATTTGTGTCCATTTGTTACAACTGCTTCCCTCCCAGAAACTCACTGTGGACTGGCTCACTGACTGGCATGGTTCATGGATCACCTTATCTGGTTGCACTTAGAGCACATCTGATACTCAAAATATATGTCTCAAGTCACCTTACTTTGGCTTTTTATTTTCCTCTTAAAAGAGCGGCGGAAAAAGGCTTCTGCGTGGGAGAGGAATCTGGTATATCCAGCTGTAATGATATTGCTGCTAATTGAAACGGTAAGCGCTAATTTCCTTTCATTACTTAAAACTCACCTTTCTTCCTGATATTAATGATCTTTTTCATCTTCATGTGTTACCTGGATATCAGACATATGGAGAGCTGCTGATTCTTTGTTTCCTTACACTGCCACAGGGGTCCTCAAACTTTTTGAACAGGGGGCCGGTTCACTGTCCCTCAGACCATTGGAGGGCCGGAATATAGTTTAAAATAATAATAATAATAATAATAATAATAATAATAATTCTAGAACACAGCCTCACAGCCCGAAAAACCCACTGTACTACCAGACTTCCACAACACGGAGTGGCAGTAATTAAAAAATGGTGTCAAACCGGATTGTTTCTGCGGCGTGGAGGATGCCGCCTATCAGCAGGGTGTGATTTGCTTTTCTTTTTCTCTGAGGCAGAGAGAGTGTGACTTGCCCAAGGTCACCCAGTGAGTCTCATGGCTGAGCTGGGAATTGAACCCTGGTCTCCAGAGTCATAGTCCAGCACTCAAACCACTAACCCAGGTTGGCTCAAACCTTTTCCAAAATAACAACATTGGGACAGACTTTTGAGGAGTCGATAAACAGAAAGCATATTGAAATAAAATGAGAGCCGGTGTAGTGGTTTGAACATTGAAGTACAACTCTGGAGTGCAGGGTTCGAATCCATGAAAACCCACTAGGTGACCCTGGGCAAGTCACACTCTCTCAGCCTCAGAGGATAACCATGGTAACTCTCCTCTGAAGAAACTTGCCAAGAAAACCCCATGATAGGGGTCACCATAAGTTAGAAATGACTCGAAGGCACTGGATTACCCTGGGCAGGTCACACTCTCTCAGCCTCAGATGGTAAAGGCAACACTCCTCTGAAGAAACTTGCCAGAAAAACTCCATCATACGGGTTGCCATAAGTCGGAAATGACTCGAAGGCACACAACAACAAAACCATGGAAATGGAAGCGCCGATTCCTTGCTCCTCATATACTTTGACAAGGATGTGAAGCGCCTGCTCTCCAAATAATAATAATGGCAACCCTCACAGAAATTGTACCACAAATTATTCTCTTT